TGTTGATTACAGTTGCTTTTCAAATAATTCATTTATTTACTCCAGTCCTATGAGAATCTCTGATCCCGCAGGTTTCGAATCCTTCCTGTCATCTTATCCAATTCTGCAAAATGACAGAACATTTAATGCTTCTTATTCCCCAGAAGGTTTGCAGTATATTCTTAGAAGCCAGACGTAGAGCCTATTCAGAAGGCCAAAGTAGCTTACCAACATCCCATGCAGAGATGTGCTAAAATGTGTAGTAAAACAGGGATCTGAAGCTGGACCTCATCCATTTTTGGACTCCCAAGCTTCTATAACTGCAGCAAGTTCAACTAGCCGGCCACCTGACATATTGGAATGCACACACACACACACACACACACACACACACACATTTCCACAGTATCCCAAAGCAATCGGAAGGAAAAGATGGCACGGATGACTAGAGAGATGTATGAAAGCCAGAAAGCCACAGGAGGGCAATAATAATGTTTAATGGTTGGTAAGCAGCTTTCCATTTTCTGCTGCACTCGTTTTCGTGTTGAACTGTGGGGGGAGGGAGAGAATGAAATCCTTTAAATATCAGTTTCGTACATCTGGAAGGCATGAAATATCACTAGAGACATAATGGAGCTGCGCCCAATGAGAATTAAACATAGCAAACAGCCTCTCTGTTGATTTTATTTGAAGAGTTTCCTTGGGGTGATGGATAACTTTGAAAGGAGAATAAATGAGGCTATTTATAAAAACTTAATAAACTCTGTGCTTTAATGTTGTAGAGAAATGGCTGTTTTTGCTGCCTAAAATTCAGGCGATCATAAATGTCGGAAGAAAATTGCTCAGCGTACTACTCCTGTCTTATTTATTGTTTACTCGAAAGAAAAGTGGAACCCTGCCTGCTATGTTCCGCCTTATATTACTGCTTATATTTTCAACTGTAGATGAAAATGAATGACCCAAGGTATACATTTTCGGGTTGTTCTAGTTTGCTGTAGCCCATCACATCTGTCAATAAAGTCTGGATCCTACACAATGAGCATGGGAAGATGAGGATGAAGTGGTACTTGTCTTGGTGGGGGGCAGAATGGACTGCTCTACCGCAAACTACTGATGGAGGTCAATTTTTTATGTCTATGTAGAAAAAGAAAATCCCTGTGTGTAAAAAGCAGCCAGGGGAAAACAGAATTAGGACTTTTATCCCGGATTCTTTGTTGGGTTTTTCCTTGCATGGAATCTTGTAGGCAGAGGGGCATTCAGAAATGGCACTTGACACACACATACACACTCACAGCAAGTGGCAACATAGATTCTGCCACCTCAAGATTCTGTCACTTCATTCTGCTGCACATACAGACCAGGCATGTACCACATACCCCGCAAGTGTCCCGGAAAAACTGGGACATCCTGTTTTCCCCGCAAGAACACAATGGTCATTTTGGGCACCATGATATCACGTGATTTCATGCCAAGGTCTCGCCCCCCCCCAAGCACTTTTTGGAGGGGCCGCGATCTCTACTTACAGTACCCATTTTTGGGTACTGTAAGAGCATGCCCTCCCCCAAGTGTGTGCTTTGGGCTCCATGATCTCATAAGGGTCACGTGACTCATGCAGGAGCACCGAGAGAGGAAGATGCACTTTGACTGGCTGGGCTCCCCCTGTGCAAGTCGCTGTGGCGGCATCAGCAGCGAGGGCTAGGTTTGCATGGTGGGCTATGTTCACGCTCTGCGGTCCACACTGGCCTGGTATGCATGCACCTGCGTGAGCTCCAAGCACCAGCAAACCATGCTATGCCACTGCAATAGATCAGAAGTATATACACAAATAAACTGGTGACATTTCCAGGTGCCAATGAGGGGAAGAGCATCCATCATGAGCTGGTTTTTGAGGAAATCATCTTTCAATGAATTTTTTTTTTAATTGAACCACTAAAATTAAGCTGTGTTTCCTCTGCATTTTCACATCCAAAATGCCTGTTCAGTCCTCAAAGCTTGCTTTTCTCTTCTTGCTTTCTTAAATTTGCCGTTTCCCACTCCCTTTTGGGTTTAAGACACACACATATATCTCTACCGTCTATTTGCTCTGTCAAACAAAACTGTTGTTTGCAATAAATTGTGCTTCCCATTCGCAGACAACCTTTATTACAGCCGCTTGTTTGCAGGAGTGTAGTTATAGCATTGTCAGAATTTCTGCTATAAATGTTATTTGATTGTATTTATAGCCTCGCAGTGAAAAGGGCTAACTGTGCTGAGGTTTCTTCAATAGATCTCAGTCCCATAGGATATTTGGTAAAATAAAAATAAAAAAATAAAACGGTGCAACATTACTTTGTATTTGGCATCTTCAGAACACCTGGTAGGTAGCCTTTATGGTACCTTGCAAAATAATTTACCTTGACTCAGCTATGGGCTCATTCTGTACACACATACAAAATGGGCTTCTGCCTGCTCTCTTTGCCTGGGGCAATGAAGGGATGGAGAACCTGCGACTCTCTAGTTGTGGTTAGACTCCAGCTCCCATCAGCCTCAACCAGCATGACCAATGGTCAGTGTCAGTGAGGATTGTAGCTCAACAACATCTGGAGAGCCAGTGGTTCCCTACCCCTGGTGTGTTGCGTTTAAAATGCTATTGTGTGCATGATTCCCAAGGCTGAACTAAAAGCTGTAGCTGAACTTTTTCAGGGTGAGATCTGTTTGAATTTAAAGCTTTTATTATTCTCATTCTCTCTCTCTCTCTCTCTCTCTCACACACACACACACACACACACACCCCAACACCTCATAGAATTGTAGAGTTGCATAGCAAGAATATACAGCTTGAACTTTCAACCTTGGTGTTATCAGCACCATACTCTAACCAACTGAGCTATCCAAGCTGATATATAAAGGTAAAGGGACCCCTGACCATTAGGTCCACCTAGGTAGGCAGGTGCAGGGACCGAGCAATGGGAGCTCACCCCATCATGGGGATTCGAACCGCCGACCTTCTGATCGGCAAGTCCTAGGCCCTAGAATTTTGCATGCCAATTTGTATCTTGTCACTGGAAACATTGAATTTCTCATGCTGCGTGACTTTTTGTCTACCTTATTGCTGCTTTGGGGCAAAACCGTTTAGAAATACAGCTCAGCGTGCCTTATAGAACTGGGGGGTGGGGAAAACCTGGCTCCTTTGGTCCATTAGCAAACTCTTAAGAGATATTACGCAAAAAATCAATACTGTCAATGCTGAATAAAAATTATTAATTCTTTAGAGAGGGCAATTTTTTTCCTGAGCAAGTCTTAATACATAATTCAGTTTGAACAGCCAATTTTTCCTAATATTCCCAATGTGGCGTACAGGGGTTCCACCAAGAATTCCTGTTTCTGCTGATTTATTATTATTATTTTTCCTAATTAAGGGTTTGGTCCTTTGTTGCTGCTGCTGTTTGCCTTCCGGGGATCCTCCTATTTTATTATTGGTTTGATTTGTTTTGAGAGGGGTGTAGGTGGATTGCCCTTTGTTTGGGGGGGTTCCTAGTTTTTCTGCTAATTTTCTGTTTTTATGGTACCCAAAACAGTACCTTAGGTTTCCAAATGTACCCCCAGGTCCCAAAAGGCTAGGGATCTTAAAATAAGTTAAGTTAACTGGCTCTTCTAGTGCTTCTCTATCTTTTCCCACACAGTAGAAAATCCGAAGGGGCTATTTGTGTACAGTGGTACCTCGGGTTGCATACGCCTCAGGTTACAGACTCCGCTAACCCAGAAATAGTGCTTCAGGTTAAGAAATTTGCTTCAGGATGAGAACAGAAATCGTGCTCCGGCGGCGCGGCGGCGGCAGCAGGAGGCCCAATTGGCTAAAGTGGTGCTTCAGGTTAAGAACAGTTTCAGGTTAAGAACGGACCTCCGGAACGAATTAAGTACTTAACCCGAGGTACCACTGTAGTCTGTTTTCCTTTGAAGGAGCAAGAACTGGAGATTTATGGGAGATGCTTATAGCTTCATTTGTTTGCTTTAAAAAATGTGCAGGGTGAAAAGAAACAGTAGGGATATGCAGAGCAAGCAGAGACAGTGCTAGCCCAAAGGCAGAATCCGAATCACAGATTGATTCATGTACTGCTGCCGCTCCATAGAAATTAATAATAATGAGCCCACACTCACACGGTGCAGTATGCAACTAATTACCTGAGAAACGGCTGCCTTGCATGGCACCGAGGATTCTTCCATTAGCATTTCACACGGCTGGGTTGGAAGAAATCAACAAAGGGAATAGACAAGGAAAATTTTTCAAAGCAGAAAGGGAAGGGCGACCTGGCCGGGGCACTAGCCAGAGGGACAAAGGCTGTGGGGAGGTGACACCTTTCCACCCAGTGCCAGATTTACGTATAAGCTAAACAAGCTATAGCTTAGAGCCCCAGTCTCTTGGGGGCCCCCGAAAAATTTAAAGGACTGGATGTACATTTCCAAAATGTAAAATAAAAAATAAATTAAATAAAGCCTACTTACAGCAACAGTGTTTTGTGTTGTGTAGGCTCCTATGTTGTAAGTCAGGCATGGCCAAACTTGGCCCTCCAGATGTTTTGGGACTACAACTCCCATCATCCCTAGCTAACAGGACCAGTGGTCAGGGATGATGGAAATTGTAGTCTCAAAACATCTGGAGGGCTGAGTTTGGCCATGCCTGGTGTAAGTAATGAGCTCCACCTGCTAGCTTAGGGCCTCATCAAACCTAAATCTGGCCCTGCTTCCACCCCCTGCACACAGCCTTTGACTGATTTTTTAAAGTCTGTTTTGATGCCATGTGAATGACTATTTGTCCTGGAAGACAACACTTGATGTTTGGTAATTGTTTTTGAAGAAATTCAATAAAGTTTGCAATAATAATTCAAAAAGTTTTTTAAGATTGTTAAAATGTTTGACCTGAGCTGCAAGTCCACGTATCCTTCTTTCTTGATCCTACCTTCTCTCTCTCTCTCCCTCTCCTCCTTTCTCTCTCTCTCCCCCCTCTCCCTGTCTCTCTCTCTTTCCTCTTCCTTCTTTCTCAGGATCACTACCACGGCTGCCTGCATGATGGATTTACGAAGGTACCCTCTGGATGAACAAAACTGCACGCTGGAAATTGAAAGCTGTAAGTTGTCTCACCATTTTTTACTGCTTATATAAAAGCTCAAACTTGTTTTGTACTTTTGTACAATGTGTGACAAGGAATCTTACAATGCATACCGCCATCTACACCTAAATTGCTACCATATTTCTGAGCCCAAATAAAATTGCTTATATCTCTTGCCTAATTTGCAATATTGTCTAAAGTATAAAGTATAGTTTGACTATTAATGTTTTAAAACATTTTTTGAAACATTACGCTGCCTCTTTACCGTATCTTTAAAATAGGAATATAACTAGCTGGTCACATATACAGTATGGTGGTGCATCTAGATTAATTACGGTACTGAAATAGTTTAAATCAGTTAAATATACCATGTACAGATAGTACTGAGCTGTTGTTGTTTCGTCATGTCCGACTCTTTGTGACCCCATGGACCATTGCACGCCAGGCACTCCTGTCTCCTACTGCTTCCCGCAGTTTGATCAAACTCATGCTGGTAGCTTTGACAACACTGTCCAACCATCTCGTCCTCTGTCGTCCCCTTCTCCTTGTGCCCTCAATCTTTCCCAACATCAGGGTCTTTTCCAGGGAGTCTTCTCTTCTCATGAGGTGGCCCTTCATGGATCACTGCCTTGCTGTGGCGAGGGGCTTGAATAACTCAGAGAAGCTATGAGCTATGCCGTGCAGGGCCACCCAAGATGGACAGGTCATAGTGGAGAGTTTTGACCAAACGTGATCCACCTGGAGCAGGAACCGGCAAGCCACTCCAGTATCCCTGCCAAGAAAACTCCATGGACAAAGACAACAGGCATATAAAAGTACTGAGCTACACAATCCAATTGCCTGACTCTGTCCAAGGCAACTTCCTCTGTTGCAGTGGGAATTCCTACTCCAGATTCATTGTATCTAATGCTCCACAGCAGCAAATATAGCTTTGCTTCCTGGTTGGTTGATATCTTGCACCTGTTTGTATTAGTTCATTGGCTGCAATACCATTAGATTACTATGAAAAGCAGATAAAAACACTGCCCACCATCCTTATACGGAGCCCCACCAGGGTCTCAATAAACCTCTTGCAGCCTGCGTGGTGTAGTGCTTAGAGAGTTGGATTAGGAAACTTGGGTTTGAATCTCCACTCTGCCATGAAGCACAGTGTGACTTTGTTAGTTGCAGTCGCTTAGCTGAACCTACTCCACAGCATTGTTGAGATGATATGTGCGTTTGTGTGTGTGCTTTGTGCACCACCCTGAGCTCTGAAGGAAGATAGAATAAAAAAGCAAATTGTACAAATAATACCTACTTAGGACTTCAAGAACAGGGTTGGGGGTGTTGTCCTGGGCTACATGAGGCTCAGTGGGTCACAAATTGTGCATTCCTGCATAAGCAATTTTCTGGCTTTCTTTTTGCCCTGACTGGTATCTCTTCTGTTTACAACACTTTTAGCATCCTTGTCATCTTTCGCAATGTTATCCACCATCGTCAATTACTATCAAATATAGAACAGCAGTCGCTGAATACTAATTGCCAAATGTAAAACACTAAATATCAAATTGTGAGCATTCAGCGGGTGCCGCCATAGAATTGGCTTCCACGTTAAATAAGAGATCGTGGGAGGAATAGAAAATGTCTCATTAAGGCATTTATGATTCTGGAAAAGCCCATCGCTGTGTTTTCCTTCTTTCTGCGGAAATAGATGCAATCTTAAATGTACATAATGGCTGAACAAAGACAGGGGTCAATTTGAAGAGGCAATGGTATGCATCAATAGAAAAATATTCCAGCCGCGTGCTCAGTGGTTGCTTGCCAGGAAGCCGGGGGGGGGGGCACTCCAATAGCTGCATTCTTATTTGAACCGTCATTGCCACTTACATTGGCAAAAAGCATTTTGACCGATTTGTGCAGAATCATTATCACTCCCTTCCTGAGACAATATACTGCACTGTTACGGTGGCTGCATATACAATACCTTGACTTGAAAGGGTTTCACAGGAAGCATGAAAACACACTGCATATCATTGGGGAAGGCCAATTCTGCTGGAAGCTAAAGATCCCAACTGCTTATCTGGGCCTTTGGGAAAGAGTAGATGGCTGATAACCTACCTTATCTTTCACTCCCACTACACTGGCTACAGCTAATGTGGTATCCTAGAACCCATACAGTCCAAGAGCACTGATAAAAAATGGTAAAGGTAACCCCTGGACGGTTAAGTCCAGTCAAAGGTGACTATGGGGTTGTGGTGCTCGTCTTGCTTCAGGCCGAGGGAGCCAGCGCTTCTCCACAAACGGCTTTCCAGGTCATGTTGCCATCATGACTAAACTGCTTCTGGCACAACAAAACACAATGACGGAAGCCAGAGCACATGGAAACGCCATTTACCTTCCCACCACAGCGGTACCTATTTATCTACTCACACTAGTGTGCTTTCGAACTGCTAGGTTGGCAGGAGCTGGGACAGAGCAAGCGGAGCTCACTCCATTGTGGGACGCGGGTGGCACTGGGGTCTAAACCACTGAGGCTCTTGGGCTTGCTGATCAGAAGGTTGGTGGTTCGAATCCCCGCAAGCACTGATATCTAGTTATGGGGAACTTGGAAACAACAACAGCCATATAGCTCAGGAGTAATACGAACCAGTCTACATAACTAAGCTTTTCTCCTCCTCCTTCTTCCTCTTCCTCTTCTTCTTGGAAAGAGGCTTAAGATGTTAGTTGTCTGTTTATTACATAAATATCCCACTTTTCTTTCAAGGAGCTCAAGGTGGCCCACAAGATTCTCCCTCCTCTCAAATTTTCCTTACAACTCTGTGAAGGAGAATAGGCCAAGGAGCAGCTTCATGCCTGAGTGGAGACTTGAATTTAGGACGGTGACAATCCCTCACCTGACAGAATATCGCAGCCATCTCAGGAAAACAAGTGCTTAAGGCAGCTCATCAAAAACCTTGTCATGAGCTTAGAAACTATGAATTTATGAATTGTAACTGACTTCTGAATGTCTCTCAATGCACTTTAGTGCTGCCCAGTGACCTGTAAATTCAATGAAAGCCTAATGCAGTCAGATAAGGATTGTCAAGCGATGTGTTAATGAACTTAGAGAAGAGGCCAGGGGGGCTTATGGATCCGAACTGGTCTGGGGGAGGGGGACAGGTAACAGTTTTGACTGTTTGTGGACCAGAACTTGACTCCAGGTACTGGTGACTTCAAGACTGGATTATTGCAATGCTCTCTATTTGCGGGTTCCCTTGTGCTTGAACTGGAATGCTGCAACATGGTTGCTGGCAGGAGTGAGACCTGCTCAAAGATCGGCACTAATTGCTGATTTGTAACTGGTCCAAGTTCAAGCTGTTAATAATGGTATTAGAAGCCATCAGCTGCTTGGGACTAAGTTTCTTGTGGGATGTGCCCACTAGACTGCTTTGGTTTGTGAGCTGACACTCTTGCAATTTGAATCAGCTGTTGAACTTCCTGTTAGAAAATATTTAAGAGCCTTTGAAAGAATGCGTCATTAAATTTCAACTCAAGTCCTGTGCAAGGTTACATGCTGAACCTCTAGCTGCTTTGATGTTCATTCTTTCTCAGGGTACGACAGCCATACTCCTAAACTCAAAGGCTGAATCGCCTACGTTTTCCCAGCCGTACCTAAGAACCCAGCTCTTTCATAAAGTTCTGGCAAACAAAGCAGATGTGCAGGCATGCCTTAGCGTGTGATGCTGTAAGAACCTTGGAACTCCCAGTCTGTTGTGTGATAGCTCTTAGCAACTTTTTATTCAGTCAGATCACAATTAAATCTCTATGAGCAGGCAGCTGAAATTGTGAATCTTGTCATTTCACTTTTTTTGTGTGTGGGGAGAAGAGGCAAGGACTGTTTGATGGTAATGCATTCATCCTCACACTGTTGGCCTTTGGCACAGTTTATGCATTTACTGGTTTTCTGCCAATGTGTGAACAGCTGCCTGAAGCACAGACTCTCTAAGCAAAGAATTAATTTAAAGGTTTTCTTTGTCTGTTGGTGAGCTTGCTGCAGCATATGATAAATTATTCCAGTCCTCGCCGCAATGGGGACTCCATTTTCATCCTCCATTTTTATCCTCAACTCTTACTTAATGAATTCAACATGTGTCCACAATTATAAACACTCTTTTTTAAAAAATTACAAATGATATAGCAACCAGTTGACAACATGTCTGAGTGAGGCCACACACTGTATTTGCAGTAATGCTGTGTTTGTAGCAATCCTTGTTTAATGTTACATGAATGTGCCTGCTCACCCCTCCCCTCCCCTCTGCTATGGTATGATCACAATGTGGTGATCGAAAGCTTTCACTTCTACTTTTACTAACTGCAGTTTAGAATTACAGTATGTTCAAACCAAGACAAACTATTGCTATTCTAACCAAGTTTGGATAGCTCCGGTTTACTGAAACAAGCCAACTTCAAAGCATAGTTTATGAAGCTGTCTTGTTTCAGTAACAAAACAGAAAATAAACCACAGTTTAGGGTTCAGAAATAACATTAAACGCAGTTTACTAAAAACAAAAATTTCCGTCTTCTTCCGTGTGGAAGTGCTAGAGGGGAGGGGGAACATGTGAAATTCACTCTGTTTTGTTTGCAGAATTCCAAACCATAGTTTCGCATTATGATTGAACATTCAGAAGATTGAACATTCAGATTGAACACTTGTGCGATGCTCACATCTTAATCATGTTTTGTACTCCCCAGTTTTCTAAGCAGTGGGAAGTTCCAGGGACAACCTTATAGGTTCAATTTTGGAAATGTTGGAGGGTATGAAATCCTGATAGGTGAATATCTTGATGGGCAGCTAAAATATTGCACTCTACAAACAAACAAAAAACAAACAAAAATATTGTGATTGGATTGGGTCTGAAACCCAGTCAAAGCCCTTTTTCTATAACCAGCCATTTCCCAATCCACCGGTACCTGATTCAGTCTGGCTGCTATTTACTTTCTCTGCGGTTGCACAAAGTGAGTTTAACATGAATCTTGCCTTCAGATGCAAAGTTTGCAAATGGTAGTGATGCAACATTCACATGTGGGATGAGTGAAAAATAGGTGTGAAGCGTAAGCAAACCGTAAATTGAAAACTGCAGGGATTTTTATTTTTTTTAAGTCAGATAGTTCTTGCACAAAGCAGTGAGGTATCTTGCAAGTCATGTCTGCCCCCTGCAGCTGGTCTCAGGGCTCATTCAGATCCTGCTCTGCCAGAGGAATGCTTATTTTGCAGCATGTTTGCTAACTATTCCTTACTGCTTACCTGAGCCATGTGTTTCACTTTTCTACCGGGACTAAGAAAAGCCTTGCTTTAATTCTGAATCGATATGCATAGGGTTTCACTGTTAAATCTGTGAGAGGCGCAGCACAATCCTATGCATGTTTACTCAGAAGTAAAGCCCAATGCATTCAGTGAGGCTTACTTCCAAGAAAGTGTGCATAGGATTGTAGCCTTATAGACATGGTGCCCATCATTCCAGTGATAACTTATGATTTAGGCTTAAATCCCCAAGCCCATAACTGTAATATTCTACAGGGCTATCTGTTCTTTATCAATTATATTTCTTCCATTTATTATTGTTGTTGTTTTGTATATTTTATACAATTTGAGATCTATAATTTTATACTTTGTTATACAGTAATTGTGAAATTCCATTTTAAAAAATATTATTTAAATTAAGAAGAATAAGAAAGCCCAAGTCTGAACTTCTCCAATATCTTCATGTTGCCTTTGATAGAGAGCTGGAGAAACATTTAAATAAATAGTCTTCAACTTTGGAACAGATGCTTTCTTTTATCGAAATGCAATAAACATTATATAAAGCACAGACATAATATTTTGTTACTTTTGTTAATCTTTCATTTGTTTCTCATGAAAAATAAGTGGCTTGGTATAAAATCTGGTGATGAAAGCTTATTTATAATTTCTAACCATCAGAAATTGCCCAACAAGAAATAAAATTAAAATGGTGGAAGTTCACAGTAATGGTCAGTAATGTTTGTTCTTATTTTTATTTTATTGACATTTGCTTGGCTTTGAGATTAAATTTTACAACTCAACTAATTTATAAAACATTTGGTCAACCAACTAACATGCTTGGGTATATCTTTCCTATTGCAGATGGATACACAACGGATGATATTGAGTTCTACTGGAATGGAGGGGAATCTGCTGTAAGTGGAGTTAATAAAATTGAGCTCCCTCAATTCTCAATTATCGACTACAAGATGATCTCAAAAAGAGTAGAGTTTGCAACGGGTAAGCAGTGAGCATCCCAAGACATACTCTGGGAATGGCAGTAGAAAAGAGACACGCTGTGGTTTCACTTTTCCCTTTTTTATTTTTTAAATAGGAGCATACCCTCGGCTGTCACTGAGCTTTCGACTTAAAAGAAACATCGGCTACTTCATTTTGCAAACCTACATGCCTTCTACTCTGATTACGATTCTGTCGTGGGTATCTTTCTGGATCAACTATGATGCATCTGCTGCTCGAGTTGCACTAGGTAAATTATTACTTGGACAACGAAGCTACTTAAATATCCTTGGTGTGTGAGATTTATTCTTTTCATTTATTAATTCATTTTAGCGTGTTAGAGGGCCCTGTGTGCTCCGTGCGTTGTTTTGGTTTTCTTTCTTTCTTTTTAAAAACCCATAATGGCACCTAACATCCTGGCAGTTTTATACTACTGGTCATGTATCTTTTTTTTAAAAGTAAATTTCAAGCCCTTACAGTTGTGAAGAGTGGTTGAAAGTATGGGGGAAATGCAGTGTATCCCAGAAACTGGAAAGGGGGGTGTGTGAATAAGATTTCCAGAGCCATAATATATGAGTCATACCCTCCCAGTTCTAGTCATTGTGTTCTGTCTTCTAGTCATTGCACAAAACAAGCTTAGTTTGTATAATTTATACAGTTGCAGACCATCTCTCTGCCTGGATCTCATGAGAAAATGATGGTGACTCTGAAAAGGAGTCATAAAAGATAATGTGCTATGTTGGCAATGCATCTTCGGCTGACCAAACAAACAAACAAACAAACAAACAGCTTCTCCAGTTACATTAACCGATAGCTAAGGGAAACTACCTTATATTACCCTTAGCCAGGCTTCCTCAACCTCAGACCTCCAGATGTTTTTGGCCTACAACTCCTATGATCCCTAGCTAGCAGGAGCAGTGGTCAGGGATGATGGGAATTGTAGTCTCAAAACATCTGGAGGGTCGAGGTTGAAGAGGAGGAGGAGGAGGAGTTTGGATTTGATATCCCGCTTTATCACTACCCGAAGGAGTCTCAAAGCGGCTAACATTCTCCTTTCCCTTCCTCTCCCACAACAAACACTCTGTGAGGTGAGTGGGGCTGAGAGACTTCAGAGAAGTGTGACTACGCCAAGGTCACCCAGCAGCTGCATGTGGAGGAGCGGAGACGCGAACCCGATTCCCCAGATTACGAGTCCACTACCCTTAACCACTACACCACACTGGCCTTAGCAATGTTACTACTTCCAAAAGTCTGCACCCTGTGCTCCCTATGAAAGTGCCATCTTCCATCATGGGATGTAGCAACCATGATGTAGGAATGCAGGAATTGGGTGTCTATGTATATATAAAATACATTTGCAATGTACAGGTGGGACCTGTTAAGGATTCAGCCAGATAGTCAGGCAGGATTCAGGATGCTCCATTCCATTCACCCCTCCCTAGTTTTGTCCCCCCCTCTCAATAGTTAGCATTCTATGCTCATCCTCATTTAGCTGTTTCTGGTGAATAGGGGATAACTCCAAATGAAGGAGTCTGGTTGTGTTGCTGCAGATGCACCACAGCGTTTCTTCTCTCCGCACTCCTCCCAGCGGTCATTCCTCCTCTGGTCACTGCTATGGATACATGACCTAACTGCCTGTCTCTAGGCACTGCGGTCATCTTCAAGGGACTCCCACGCAGCAGGGTTGATGTTGCCAGCCATGTCATGTTTGCGTACATCTTTCTAATGCAGAGTTGGTCTGCCAATGGGAAACCAGCTCCCTGCAGAGCACATCCTTGGGGATCCTGCCATCTTCCATTCTGTGGACACGACCAAGCCAGCGTAGAATGAGTTTGCCATTCGTATATAGGATTTTAGCAGGTTGGTTGGTGGCATCTTTCCACATGAAGAGTTGCCATGTGTACAGAGCTCTTTCCTTCCTCCTAGGGATCACCACTGTGTTGACCATGACCACCATCAGCACTCATCTCAGGGAGACACTGCCAAAGATTCCCTATGTGAAGGCAATTGACATCTACCTAATGGGGTGCTTCGTGTTTGTGTTCCTTGCCTTGTTGGAATACGCATTCGTGAACTACACCTTCTTCGGCAAAGGCCCACAGCATCAGAAGAAAGCAGCTGAGAAGGCCAGCAGTGACAAGAGGAAACTGGAGATGAATAAAGTTCAGGTAACTGGTTGCCTGAGTTTTCATATATTTCCATTGAGGTATAGCAGGGTGAGGTTGAGAAGCAGGAAGGAAGCAGCACCTCAGGAAACCCTTCCAGAGCTATCCTCACTTGTGCCATATGACAGAATTCCATATGGAATATTTGTATGCAGCACAGGACAGGACAGTGATGAAAATGTTGACCTAGTACAGGGGTCAGCAAACTTTTTCAGCAGGGGGCCGGTCCACTGTCCCTCAGACCTTGTGGGGGGCCGGACTATATTGGGGGGGTGAACGAATTCCTCTGCCCCACAAACAACCCAGAGGTGCATTTTAAATAAAAGCACAAATTCTACTCATGTAAAAACACACTGATTCCCGGACAGTCCGCGATTGGGCCGGATCTGGCCCCCGGCCTTAGTTTGCCTACCCATGACCTAGTATGTGGCAGCTGCAAAAAAGGCAAATTTCGTTAGGAAAGGAACTGAAAATGAGACTGCTAAGGTCATAATGCCATTATATAACTCTATGGTGCAAGCGTATTTGGAGAACTGTGTACAGTTCTGGTCACCTCAGCTCAATAAGGATTTTGCAGAGTTGGAAAAGGTTCAGGAGAGGACAGCCGAAATGATCCAGGGGAAGGAATGACCTCCCATATGGAAAGGTTGCAGCCTTTGGGACTTCTTAGTTTGAAGAAAAGGGAAATAAGAGGTGACATGATAGTTTATAGAATTGTGTATGGCATGGAGGAACTGGATGGAGACATACCCCCTGAAATAATACTAGTAACATAAAACAGTTGTGCAGGGAATATGCATGTGGACCATACTGTCAACCCCAGCTGCTATCATGCAGGAAGAGAAAATGCAAAAGCAAGTCAGGGCAGAGCAAAGGTGAAGGCAGACCACAACAGAGTTGGAAGTTCATATCAGTCAGGCAGTAGGACATGACCCATTTGGTCTTTTTGCTGTTGAAATGCTTCCTGGCCATCTTAGTGGTGTAACCACAGGCTGAATTCTCACCAGTTGCCAGTCCCGACAACTTTACTCTTTAGTGGAGATACACTGAAGCAGTGGCGAGTGGCACCCATTCGGACCAGTAGGGCAAAAGGCAGGGAGACCAGCAGCCAATGCAAGATCGAACCATTGAATTCTGGGTTGTTCCCCAGAATCCTCCCTGCTGAGTTCTACAAGGGCCAGTCTGAGTCTAAGGAGGACATAGTTAAGAGCTAATGCTGCCACACTCTGTGCTGGTTATAAGTAAGAAGACAGGCAGGTGGGGGAGCTGGTTGAACACAGCATGAGGTTGGTGGGTCAGTGTCCCATCTCCCTAATGGACCAGCCTCCAATAGGGCCATTTTCTTTTAAGTGTGGATTCTGAAATGGACTGGATTGGTGGCCTTTGATCTCCCAGATGGGGCCATTTTGACAATATCATCCTCTGCCTTATTTTTATTTATTTTTTGCTATTGCCATTTCTATTTAGATTGGCCTTCCCCTTTTGTCTCCATTCATCTTTCTCCTTCACTCTACTTTTGTAGAAGTCTCTGAAATATGGGATCTGAAAAGAGCTCTGTGGGTTGGATGTCCCTACCCTTAACCTGCACGGAAATGTCACATGCTGGATAATTGTGACGTTCTTTCCTTTTGCAAGTTATTTATCAACTGACCTAAGGTTGGAGATAATAGTTCTTCTAGGAAGATGGGCAGTCATTTGTGGGTATGTGGGCAGTTGAATAATAATTTCTCCCTGTTCTTTTGGTCACCAGGCCATTTAGCCTTAGCTAGGCACATAATTTTCTATCCATAGCAATTTTGTCCTGAACGTAGGACATCCTGTACGTGTTTCCTCACAATGGAAAAGGACCACATTATCTACTGAATCACTTTCTATTGCCCAGTCTGTAACACTGGGCAAGCAGAGAATTTGGGCAAAAAAAGGTGCACCAGAGAAGAAAAATAGAGATTATTATCTCCTTCCGTTTGGGTGAATGTGTTAATTTGTTAGCAATCATGATAAACTCTTTGTTATGAATTGCAAAACTTATAATTCAGAGAAAATGAATAGTCTGATGATTTATACAGAACAGGGGTCTCAAAGTGATTTAGAAACTCATTTTAAAATGTAGCAGGCTCATTCATAACACTTTAAATTAAAGCAGTAATTCATCCAACACTTGCCTTGTAATAAGCAATGAGTACACAGTACTTTAAATGAGGGGACTCACATGAATCATCAATATAAACCATTAGCATTTGTCAGTTATTAGTCTTTACAATGGAGAAAAAAACAACAGAGAGATATTAATGATATTTGCGCTACTATTGCAGGTGACTATATAACAAATCTGGGAAGGCCTTTAATTTGCCAGTTGAATTGTTCAGTAATTAAAAGACTATAGATGTGCAGTTCATTCAGGCAATAATAACAACAGCCTACGGGATTCTTGTTGTTCGTTCCCTGCATCTTATATTCCAGAATGTAGTGTCTCTGAATATGGAAGTTTAGCTATCATGGCTTAATAAGCATTGATAAATTCAATTGATGAATTCGTCAAATCTTTTTCTAAAGCTAGACACCATCACTAAGACTTTTTCCTATTAAAAAAAAATCATTCCACCTTGAATTATCTGCCATGAAGTTCCTGCAGAAGATTCTGAGGAAAGTTATAGGGCAGAGGTGGGGAACTTGTAGCTCTACAAATGTTGTTGGATTACAGCTTCCATCATCCCTGACTATTGGCTCTGGTGGCTGGGAGTGATGAGAGTTAGACTTCAGCAGCATCCAGCTGTTGGCAGGGCAGCAATGCTCACATGAGCTCACATCACTGGTGTCACTGTGGCTTACTGGGAAGGAAAGGGCTAAGATGGCAGTGTGGTTGGCATGGTACGAATGCACTGGTGGAGCCAATCTAGCATTCCCAGGCTTCACTACCACCTCACCCCTCTCCCTCCTGCTAAGCTACAACGGCACTGGTGATGGGAATTTGGGCAAGTGCCACCACCCCACTGTGGTGATCACACAGGGTCCCCGGACGTTTCACCGTCTATTGATCCCTGTGCCACCACTTTATTTCTCGCTGCCACCACCCAGGCCCAACCTGGTACAATACTGAGTCCAATCAGGGTTAAATTGGAACATAAACTTCTGTTTATTTACTGCAGTTTAACAAGCATGTGGTTTCATAAATGGTATCGGTCAATTACAATCATGGGTTGCCTATCCAGACCTATAACCTCCGCTACCTGCTCTCACTCACTAAACCACCTCTCAGATATTTGCTTGTCTTCCTAGCCCCTAACTGTTCCTGACTCAGCTTATTTTGCTACACTAACTCAACCTACCCACAGACTCTATCCCAATTCACTCCCACTCCAACCAGCCACCCAACTCCCAACGAACTCCTCCCTTCGCGCCTCCCAGAGCTGGTTTTATAGTCCCTCTGACTCCACCCCCCTGGGTTCTGATTGGGTAACCTGTTTAACTATTTCACCTCCAGCACTCTCATATGTTAGCGTCACACCCACCAGCAGGTTTCCCATTCAGGCTTATTGGGCAGCTGTGCTTGAACTGAGAATGCACACCGAAATCTGTGACTGAACACAGCTGGGAGAAGCAGGGGGGTCACCGTTACTGGGCCAGCCATTCTTCAGGAAAGCTTGCCATTGTTACCTGCAAATATTCACCAATTAGCTTCCAAGGAATCCCAGAGACTCCCAAATGCAGTCTGAAAAACCGCTGCAATAATTACAGGTTGAGCTACTGGCCTGTGGTCAACAATAATGGCTGCTCAGCCCAATACACCACTCTGCATTTCAACCAGCGCAACATTTATTTCACTGCACATTCCTTCCTTCCTTAGACTGAATCCTTAAATGGATACCTGGCAAGGGCTGTGAGGCTGCTGGGTGACTCTAGGTCCCGTTTCTTTGAGGGAGATAATGACTGTGAACCTCACAGAGACTGTAATTGCAACAGTAAACAGTTCAATTACACTGGGCCATTAAGGAAGACACTACTGTAGGTTACATGTGTAGCACAGGTGAATATTACTTACCACCTTCCTACCACTTCACTTACTTCTAGCAACTTCTGTTAATTTTTAAATTTTAATGAGGAGGGGGGGAACCCATAAGAAATACAAGTAAAGATTTCATCAGCCATTTGACCGTTTTGAAGCACTAATACCTTCCTGATGTTCTGTGAAGATAGGCAGTGGGAACCAAAGAATAATCAGAATTATTACAGACAGAAATGGCTGAAAAAGGGGGCGGAGACTGGAAGGTTACAAAATACCAGTGTTCCCATTAACTAAAACAATCTCCAGGTTCTTTCTCAGATTCCTTTTTCTCATTTCCTCATCAACGTTGGCACTGGAAGGCTACCCCTTCTCTGCCCTCGTCATTTCCTATCATGCCTTTTGTTCGTTATCATCTCACTCATTTGCCAGTGTGCCAAACATCACCAGTGGCGTAGCGTGGGGGACCCAGGGGTGGTTGCCCCAGGCGCAAAATTCTTAGGGGTGCAAAATTCCAATACCCAGTGCTGCCTCAATACAGTTGCGTGCTTCCGTTGCTGGGCTGCATTGAAAACGGCTTCTCCGTGCAAACCAGGAAGTGACATCTCCAGACAATGGAATTACTCTTCTTTTCTTATCTCTGCAGGCATGATCTCCTGGGTGGCATAGACAGCGTTAGGTAGTTGAATATGCATGCATACTTAGTTTCCCTCCCACCCACCCCTTAGTGAAGCCTCAGGCACGGGCAACCCACGCTACGCCACTGAGCACCACTAAGGGATTAAGAGACCTTCTCTAAAGCCATGCGGTTGGAGGATGGATGGCGGCTAACAGATTGAGGTTGAATCCTGACAAGACAGAAGTACTGTTTTGGGGGGACAGGGGGCGGGCGGGTGTGGGGCATTCCCTGGTCCTGAATGGGGTAACTGTGCCCCTGAAGGACCAGGTGCACAGCTTGGGAGTCATTTTGGACTCACAGCTGTCCATGGAGGCACAGGTCAATTCTGTGTCCAGGTCAGCTGTTTACCAGCTCCATCTGGTATGCAGGCTGAGACCCTACCTGCCCGCGGACTGTCTCGTCAGAGTGGTGCATGCTCTAGTTATCTCCCGCTTGGACTACTGCAATGCGCTCTACATGGGGCTACCTTTGAAGGTGACCCGGAAACTGCAATTAATCCAGAATGCGGCAGCTGGACTGGTGACTAGGAGTGGCTGCTGGGACAACATAACAGCGGTCCTGAGAGATCTGCATTGGTTCCCAGTACGTTTCCAAGCACAATTCAAAGTGTTGGTGCTGACCTTTAAAGCCCTAAACGGCCTCGGTCCTGTATACCTGAAGGAGCATCTCCGCCCCCATCGTTCAGCCCAGACACTGAGATCCAGCACCGAGGGCCTTCTGACGGTTCCCTCATTGCAAGGTGAGGTTACAGGGAACCAGACAGACGGCCTTCTTGGTAGTGGCGCCCACCCTGTGGAACACCCTCCTTTCAGATGTGAAGGAAATAAGCAGCTATCCTATCTTTAAAAGACATCTGAAGGCAGCCCTGTTTAGGGAGTTTTTATTATTTAATGCTGTATTGTTTTTACATTCGATTGTGAGCCGCCCAGAGTAATAATTTATTATAAATTATAATTATTTATTATTTATTATAAATAATAAATGATGATGATGATGATGCTCCTTCTTTAGATTGACGCCCGTGGGAATATTCTTCTTACTACCCTGGAAATGAGAAATGAAGTCAGCAGCGCCAATGTGCTGGCAACTTTGAATGACCCGAGAGCTACCATGTACTCCTACGACAGCGCCAGCATCCATTACAGGAGGCCTGCCACCACAAGGGACCTCTACAACAGGAGCACTTTGGATAGACAGACAACCCATCAAAAGGGACGCCTACGGAGAAGAGCGTCGCAGCTCAAGGTCAAAATCCCAGATTTGACTGATGTCAATTCCATAGACAAGTGGTCCAGGATGGTTTTTCCCATCACCTTTATCCTTTTCAATGTGGTCTACTGGCTTTATTATGTGCACTGAGTTATGCTGTGATCCCTCCACCTGCCTAGCCCAGACTCCTGTTCTCAAATTTGCCAACCTTAAAGACTGTTGTAGCCGCAGTGCTACATATTCAAGGTACAATATTCAGCCATTCTGTGGGTTAGGGTGCCCTTTTAACCATATCCCAAAAATCAAACCATGTTTACTTCAAAAAAGAAGATAATATCTATTTGAACATGCGCTCATCCTTTTAGATCTGCTTTCAAAGAGCGACACTGAAGACACAAGTGCTACCCCTCTGTTTTGTTCTAAGGTTATTTCTGGTGATCTTTCCTTTCTTTTTTCTTAGCATTTAAAACATGGCGTGAAAATTCTGCCTTATTTTCCAAAACACATACATTGGTCCTAACCGTAGGCTTGTTCACACATTACACTGAACACAGGTACCAGCTTTCTCTAACACGTGTACAAGTGTTTGTGTGAAAGAGTGTGCAGCTAATTTGTTGATTTGTACATCTCAGCACAGGTATACACTCATGGAATGTTACATGTTTGCGTGTACAGCTCAACTGTTTGTGTACACAGATTGTACACTCACGAAACATAATGTGTTCCTAGTACCTCCATATTATTTGCCAAACAAAGCTCAAGTGTTATTCAAGAAAAGGCAAAGCTACAGCTGCATGCAACCCTAATCACACTTATCTAGGAGTCAGTCCCATTGAACAAAGTGGTTTCCAAGTAGACATGCACAGAAGTGCGCTGTACACATGTCACCATAAATAGGTTCCCAGATCAAGAACTGATATATAGCTTGAACGCCCAGAACGCCCTTCTGACACTATCAGAGCAGATTTAGGGTTGTATCACTTAATCTGATAATTCGTAGATCAAAAACATGTCGATGAACCGGCTAGCTTTTTCAAATTGTTCATAAACTCTAATACAAATGACTGCAAAAAAAAAAAAAATCATGACTAGCAGGGAGCATCTTAGAAACAGACTTCTATGAAGGCAATGCCTCTTTCAAAACTGCAGGAATGCCTGCTACAAAATAACCATAGGTCTCTAAAAGCAAAGAATGCTTTTCTTTCTTCAAAACTATAGCTTCGTTTATATGCAGATGTATGCGGATTTAATCAATAATCAATTATCTAGACAGAACACCTAATGTGTGTCTTTGGGATCTGGGCTCGATGGCTGGTCTACAGCACAAGTGAAGCTGTACCAACATTACATATTAAGGGTTGCTGGAAGAAAATAAGTGCCAATTCAGATTTTGCCTTTCCTGCTCTGTCATGGTGTTAGTTTTGTGAGAACACGCTGGAGTCTTTATTAGCAATTCCTGGCCCCTATCAGAGGACATTTTTCTCTCTTTTTAGGAGCTAAAGTAGATGTGGCATTCCATCACAGGTCACCAATAACTGGTTCCTGAGGGCACACATGAACTCACAGGCGCCCAAAGGATTCCCTGCTCCCCACCACCAATTGAAATTAGGCTTGATAAAAGCATTCTAACATAGGCAATAGAACAGGCTGTGGTGTGTGCTTGGTTGTACTGTGTGTTTGTGGTACCTGTAGCAGTTTCTCTGGTATGTGAGTGTTCCCATGCGCCCAAAAAGGTTGGTGAGCCCTGAATTACACAATTGGCCACTGTCTGCTTGGGTTCCTTTTTCCCTTTACTTAATAGGCAGCCATAGCCTTGTGGGGAGAGGGGCAGCAAGGAGGAAGCTTGCAGTGCTGATCTGGGTAGTCACCCCCATCTCCGTGGCTGCTACTTATCCTAGGAAGGAAGCTGTCATTGGTACCAGTAGGAGTTTCCCTCCTAGTGCAAATAGAAGTCACAGGGTGCAGGGTGCAATCCAGTAAAGGGTTAAATGCCCCCTTCCGCAACTCCATGGTACCCCAGCCCCACCCCAGGATGCAAGGAACCGGAGCTGGAATACAAATTTCATCACCCTTTATCTTTGGCCATGCTGGATATTGGTGTAGAGATAGAGATAGAGATAGAGATAGAGATAGAGATAGAGATAGAGATAGAGATAGAGATAGAGATAGAGATAGAGATAGATTAAAGGAGAATTCCTGAGTGCCAAGATCCAAGTTTGGGGCAAGTACTCTTTGGTGAGAGAACCCAAGCAGGGATTTATTATAATCACAAAATATGCAGCAAAATTAAATGTGGAGATACAGGCTGTTAGACCTTTAAAATATGTGAGCCTCCAAGTGAGTTCATTATTTATTTGTTACATTTATATACCATATTTTTCGCCCTATAGGGCGCACCGGCCCATAGGGCGCACCTAGTTTTTTTGGGGGGGGGAATAAAGGGGGGGAAGTTTTTTTTTTTTTCCCAGGCACGGGACTGGGGCGGGGGAAGCCCGAGCTTCCCCCGACCCCAGCCCCCAGAACAGGCTGCTATCCGCAAGCCTTGGGAGCCCGGCGGGAACTCCCGCGGGCTACCCAGGCTTGCGGGTATCTGCCCGAAGCCTGGAGAGCGAGAGGGGTCTGTGTGCACCGACCCCTCTCGCTCTCCAGGCTTCAGAGAAAGCCTGCATTCGCCCCATAGGACGCACACACATTTCCCCTTCATTTTTGGAGGGGGGGAAGTGCGTCCTACAGGGCAAAAAATACGGTAATACCTTTATCTTCCAAGATCTCAAGATGGTGTATATAGTTCTCCTCTCCCCATTTCATCCTCACAATAATCCTGTGAAGTAGGTTAGGCTAAGAGATGGCGACTGGCCCAAGGTCACCAGTGAGCTTCATGGCTGAGTGGGGTTGTTGGCATGGCAGGGTTCTAAAATGTCCCCTTAACAGATCTCTTTTCAACATGTCCCTCTTCCCCCAGGCATAGGAAAAGGCCACATACTTGATAAGTTTTAAAATGGTTTGCTTACAAACTCTCCAAAGACCAAATTCACCTGCTTTAGAAAGCTGCACAGGCATTAAAACTTGGCTTAGATAAAAAGTGGTGGAAGTTCCTAAATTTATAGGAATGGAGCCATGTGGCTAAACTGGAGTAACCAGCTCAAACCTTTTCATATGATGAGGTCATCAGGTAATCTGGAAGACAACAATGACTTGATTACCTAGTTCCTCCCAAGGTGAGGGGATGTGGAGATAGATATAGATATAGATATAGATATAGATATAGATATAGATATAGATATAGATATAGATAGATATAACACACTATCTAGAGGTCTCAGGGCGGTTCACAGAATAAAATCAAAATATAAATCCCCAAAATACATAATCAAAACAAAAACAACCCAATAGCCCCCCCTCCCAAAAAAACACCACATTTTAAAAGGGCATAGGATATCAATCAAATCAACCAAAAGCCTGGTAAAAAAGGAACTTATTTGCCTGGCGCCTAAAGGTGTATAATGAAGGCACCAGACAAATTTCCCTGAAGAGAGCATTGCACAGATGGGGAGCCACTGCAGAGAAGGCCCCGTTCTCATGTTGCCACCCTCTGGGCCTCTCAAGGAGAAAGCACACAAAGAAGGCCCTCAGAAGATTATCTCAGGGTACCAGTAGGTTCATATGGAAAGAGGCAGTCCTTGAGGTATTGCGGTACTGAGGTGTTTAAGGCTTTATAGGTCAGAACCAAAACTTTGAATTGGGCCTGGAAATTAATTGATAGCCTGTGCAGTTGGACCAGGATTGGTGTAATATGCTCAAACCATCTTGCTCCAATGAGCAACCTGGCCGCTAAATTCTGCACTAGCTGAAGTTTACGAACCGTCTTCAGAGGCAGCTCTACGTATAACGCATTGCAGTAATTTAACCCTGAGGTTACCAGAGCATAGACAACAGTAGTTAGGCTATCCCTGTCCAGATAGAGGCATAGCTGGGACACCAGCCGAAGCTGATGGAAAGCACTCCGGGCCACTGAGGCCACCTAAGCCTCGAGCGAAAGCAAAGGATCCAGGAGGACCCCCAAGCTAAAAAGGAAGTGTAACCCCATCAAGAGCAGGCGATCTCCCACCCATCCAGTCTAGGAAACCACCCACTAACAGTGCCTCAGTGTTATCTGGATTGAGTTTCAGTTTGTTGGCTCTCATCCAGTCCATTACATCCAGTCCAATGTATCACTGAAATCTGTGTGGGTGAACAGGGTCTCAATCAGCTGTGGCCACCTGGGTACTCAGTGCAGCATCAGTCTAGATGTGAGGGTCAGGGAGTGGTAGTTGCTGTGGTTTATAGAGATTCTCTCTCTATCTCCAGGCTCTCTGTCCAGTCGGGGGCGGGCGGGTCTAGAGTGTGTGTTCCTGGCATTGGGCAATCACGACAAATTCTGCTGGTTTACTGCCCGCCTCGCTGCCCAGCAGTCTCCCTGCCTGAGACTGAGATGGTCTCAGAGGCAGTGTTGAGGACTCCCCAACTGCTGGTTCTGGGAGACTTCAACATTCATGCTGAGGCAGCTGGCTCTGGGGCAGTTCAGGACTTCATGGCCGCCATGACAACCATGGGGCTGTCCCAACCTGTCACATGGCACACCACACTCTGGACCTTATTTTGTTGACTGGGCAGGAAGAGGGTGATTTGAAAGTGGGGGACACTGACATTAGTCCCTTGTCGTGGTTCGATCACTTCCTATTGAGATTTAGGCTGTCAGTACCTTCCCCCCTCTACAGAGGCGGGGGACCTATTAGGAAAGTTTGCCCTCGGAGGCTGATGGATCCAGTGGGATTCCAAACAGCTCTAGGGGTGTTTCCGGCTGATATGACTGGCACCTGTTCAAGCCCTGGCCAACCTCTCCCAAACACCCAAACACCCAAATGGCTCGGGCTACTGACACGATCACCCCTGAGCACCCTCTCCCACTTCATGGAGCCCATTTGGCCCCCTGATATACTTCAGAGCTTAGGGCAAGGAAACAAGCTGGGAGACTGCTTGAAAGGAAGTGGAGGAAAGATCCAAATGAATGCAACTGAACACTGGTAAGAGCTCATTATCGAGCCAACCTAGTGGTAGTGAAGGCAGCAAAAAAGCATAATTTGCTTCCTCCATTGCATCTTCATTATGTTGTCTGGCAGAGCTTTTCCAAGTAGTATGAGTGCTTTTACAGGCTAGCCCAAAGGATGTGGTAGAACCAACGGTAGCTCACTGTGACTTGTTTATCTCACACCCAGTGGCGTAGCGTGGGGGGTGCAGGGGGGCCGGCCGCACCGGGCGCAACATCTGGGGTTAGGGCAAATCCATGGGTTAGGGGGCGCAAATCCACAGGTTAGGGGGCGCAAATCCACAGGTTAGGGGGCGCAAATTACTTGCCTTGCCCCGGGTGCTGACAACCCACGCTACGCCGCTGCTCACACCAGCTAGGTCTGATGGGAGCTGGAGTTCAGCAACATCTGAAGAGCTACAAATTTCACATCTCTGTTCTTTGTTGTTTTAGTGAACTCATGCACATGCGCCCAGATCATGCATTCATCATTATGTGGGACCGATGGAAAGGCAAGTATGTGTGTATACACATATACCCAATGCCTACAGTACTTTTACCATTACCACCCTTTTTTAGTAGGATGGGCATACACCCATATATGCACCTAGTCATGCATGTTATTTGAAGTGGGGGGTGATAACTCATCCAATGTGGAGGATCATTAGTTTGGTGAATACATGATCGGACAGTCTCCCAAGACTCTATTGACACTTTCGATTAAGTCAAAAGCTATTTTTGCACATCCGTTTCAAAGCTTGCCATTTTCCTGCCCAATATTGCCTTCAGTTCATGAGAATTTAAGACCTACTCCTGCCCAATTTTTGGTACTGCTATTCTTTTCCAGGTGTGGTATCAAAAGTGGTGACCTGGATAGGTCCCTTGTGCTTGATATCACATATAAATCTGGTTACTGATGCTACACATACATCATGAACATGCCAGGGTTCTGTGCCTCAGGAAGGTGGAATGTTCGGTAATAGTTTGGATCTTCAAAAATGAATCACCAGCTCTTCCCATGCGTAATTTAAGCTGAAGTCACTCACAACTTTTTGCGTTACTTAAAATGCTATCCTACTGAAATAAGCAGGACTTCTTATTAAGCATCCATGGGAATGGGGCTGAACGTGCCTTACTGACAATGGATAAATTGTTCCCAATAAACAAAGCAAGAATCAACAAATATACGATGTTGCTCACCTCCTATCTCCCAGGACATTTGTTTTAGCTGAGCCTCTTTGCTAGAAAGTGATGGACTTCCATATATTCAGTCTCACTAGTGAACATCTTATCAGAGAAGTGAAAACCATAGCTTGGGTTAACGCAGTGCGACCATCATCTAGACCTAGAGTTACTAGACCAGAACTTTAAGAAAAAGAAAAAAAGAAAGGACATTTTGAAATTATAATTTCTGAAATAGGAGGCCTTCCGTATGTGACTTGAATGATCTCCTTAGAGCCAAGAGTAGCAAGACACATCATCACCTCTCTCAAACCACACCCAACAGGCATGCAACACTTCCGCTGCATTTCGAATTCCTTCCCAAAATGTATTGGGCCAGCCCTGGTTTCGATTCCCAAATGCAGTGTTATCCCAGCAAGACTCCCATTCCTTATTTATCTGTTATAATGTTCTCCTAAAATCCTGACAGCTAAAGAAATACCCAAAGTGCCAAACGGGAAGCAGAATCTTAAGCTCCTTTTCAAAGTAGCACTAAATTTGAGCCAAGAGGTTTCACTCACATTGTGCCTTTCTATGCATCCATGCTTGAGTATTATCCAAATCCATGAAAAAAGTATCCATGAAAACAACATATCCTCAAAGTGCCTTATTCATACAAACCTTGGTTCAATTTTCTTTGAACTGAGCCAAACTTTTTATTATTAAAATGAGGGTAATTGCAGGGGGGTGGAGGAGGTTTGATTCCTAAAAAGATAGCCCCCCAAAAAATTGTTCTACGCAAATGGACCCTGAAATATTTAATGTAAAAAGCTAATTTACTGCCATGTGCTGTCAGTTGGGAGCGTATATGCAGATAATACAGGACAGACTCAGGAAAATGGTTGGACGATATCCCATGAAGTTAACGCCAATATTCTTGATGT